AGTGCTGAATGTTTCCTTTGGAAAGTTGGTTGCGGGTTTTGTTTTGGTTTTTTGGTTTTGGGTTTTTTGGTTTGGTTTTTGTTTTTGTTTTTTTTTTTTTGTTTTTTTTTTTTTTTTTTTTTTTGGGGGGTGGTTTTTTTTTTTTTTTTTTTTTTTTTTTTTTTTATATATATATATATATATATATATATATATATATATATATATAATCTGCTATTCGCAAAATGTCAAACCAACTGGTATTTATATAGTGTGCTTGTGATTACGAGTTTTAAGATTTTCTGCAAGTATAGACAATCCTATTCCATGGACAGAGATAAAAATTTTTCAATTAATTAAGCATTTCCACAGCTGGCTTTTGGATAGATGACCTAGGCTCTGAGCATCTCTCACAAACCAAGCCTTAAGCAGGGGTCTGAAAAACTGAAAATATTTCACTCTTGATGATTATCTCTGGATTGCACTTTTTCTATGGTCACACTACCCAGTAGTTCTATGCATTGCATAAACTAGGCTGATCTGAATATGCAAATATTTGTGTTTAAAAACTGAAAAGTCTGACAGTCTGTCATATAAACATTCTTACCGAGAAAAGAAAAAAAGTAAAAGTTAGCCAGAAAGTTTATGGGGAAATTTGCCTTCCCATTACAGATGTCTATCTCCAGCATGTGTGGACTTGGTTGTATGATATAATAGTGTCTGCACAGCCTGTTCTCTCCTCTTGCAGAGAGGGTTGCTAATAATAAATTTGATCTCAAACAGCTGTTTTAGCACCCATGGTGTCTGCTTGGATGGCAGAGACACTCTCAGCTGTTTTACACAGGGATGACATGTTACACATGCCTTGCCTTTCCACTAGGCAGGACCCTGTTCCTCCAGTGCACTGTTAGGGTGGACGCCTGCTTGTCTCATCCCCAGTCCCCATCTGGTAAGGAGGTCCTTGCACGTCACTGGCTCTCAAGCAATGTGACACTGTTACACAAAATTAAAAGCAGTACAGAAACATGCTGAAACATCCAGCAGCGCTTTGTTATAGCTTTTCTGGAACTTGTTACATTCTTAGTTGTTGAGACAGAGTAACAGCGCAATGAAATTCCAGAGTTGTCTGAATATTGCCATTTTAAACCTTCATTTTCCTTCAGTATCACAGGATTTTCGGTAATGTTTTTTTGGTACTAGTGACATTATATTAAAAAAATAAATCAGTGGAATAAACCTATCAGGCTATTACAAAATCATTTTATAAGAGTCTTCCTCAGTTAATTTTAAAATCTCTGATTGATTCCTTCTGAGATTTCTTTTGGAACCTGTATTTTATTTTGTTTATAAGGGAGGAAGGCTCTCCCAAGCATCTCTTGTTTACTCAAGAAACACATTAGATGTGAAACTGAAGTAGTATCCAACACTTAAATATTAATAGTCAGCCTAAGACTGTTGAATGAGGCAATTTATACAATCAATACAACAACTTTGTACTTCTGCATTTTCATTCTTTGGCATTTGCTTTCATGGTCTGCTGTAAATGATACTGCTGGGTCATCCTATTATGGAACAAATTACAGGGTTGGATCCAATTAAGAGCTTGGGTGGCACATCAAACCTTTAAGTACTTCCCTTTGCAGAGGAACCCAGGATCCTGAGGCAGACATTTAGGCTCTTTATCCAATTCCAAGGAAGAGTTAGGACTGGGTGCAATCCAAAATACCACTACCTGAGGTGACAGCTTGCTGGCCTGTGAGGCAAAAAGATGCTTATAGCTGACATCTGAGGCAAATAGGATCCATGAACAAACCTTAGTCACAGTTTTGCTTTCATATTTCAGGGCTCCATCAGCTTGAACTCACTGCCAGTAACCTCACTTATGAGGAGAGATTTTTATATTTTTCTAAGGAGTGAGAATCATTTGTCATTTCTTTTAAAACATGGTTATTGGAATAGAGATTTCACCTTCCCATACACACCCAGAAAACAATTTTTATTCTCCTTTTTATAGAAATAAAGCAACCATGGCAGAATAGAGAGATTGGTTTCAGCTCCCTTCTCCACCTGATCTAGTACAAACTCATCTTTTTCCTCCACAAACTCAGTTATTATTAGTGGTGAGATGTGACTGTGCTGCAAAGAAGCTGTGTTCTCCAGATTTCCTGCCATAATTCAACAAAACTAAGTTGTACTTAGTTTTGCCACAGAGAGGATTTTTATATTTATTGGAAAAAAAAAAAAAAAAAAAGACAAGGATTTTATTATCTAATGGCCAGGGAAAGGTAGGGAGGAAGAGGGATCTTCTATTTTTTATCTGAAGTTTGGAGGAGGAGACTGAATCCTAGTCTCTCTGGTCCTGCACACGTTTTCATCACCATGTTAGCAGTCAAAAGGCTGATGTTTTGTGGCTCCTCTAGTTACATTTTGAGTTCTATTTTGCAAGGATGTCAAGCCCACCCATGCCTGTTAGAAAGCATGGTATGAAAGTACCAGATATCCTGTGGGACTAGAGGGGAGCGCTGCCCATGTCTTGTGATCTGCCCAGTAAGAGCAGCAGTCACACTGGGCTTCTAGTAAAAGCATGAATGTGTGATATGAGAAACCTGTGTTCAAGTTCTTTTTTCCACATAGCTTCAAATCCTCAACACCTACCTTCTTGTGATTTGAAGGAGTTCTATTTTCTGTCAGAGAAAATTTAATACAAGATCTATCCATCTGAAAAATGGAGAGCAAACAAAAGCTTGACCTTATATTTTACTAATTTGGACACTTGTCTTTTGTGGTTTATGCATCCTTGGTTTGGGTCAAATAATTTTTTCACTTTTTTTCTTTTTTAGGCTTTCTAATTGGGCAATATCTATTTTATTATTTACTTTTATGTTGTACTTATCATGTACTTACCTCTACAGGTATCAGCTTTCCCATAATGGCCAGTTCATTGCAAGAGACACAATGCTGGTGCATGCTTTTATTTGTGATTTTGAGCTTTGGGGTATATTTTTTATTTGGTTTTTGTTTTTTAGTTTGATGGGAATTAAGAGAACTGCTGTATTCTAATGTTTGAGCACTGTGAAGATTGACCTTGGGTCTGAAGGCTAAATTTCTCTCCTGAAAAACAGGACAGAAAGGGAAGTGGAGGGTGATTCTAACTTTCTCACTATTCCAATTGCCTTACTTCTTACTTAGAAGGGTTACTTCTAAGAAGTATATGTTCGAGATTGAAACAGGTTACAGATGTGTGCCTACATCTACTCTTTTCACAAGGCTGCAAGGCAATCCACCAAGGACTTGTTTCCCTCTTTTTGAGCCATTGAATCCCCAGTTTATTTGGACACACCATTTCTGCTTAGTTTTCTCAATAATGTGCAAACCTTTTGAAATGCAGTATGTTCTACCCAATACATAGCAATATATGTGTGAATTTACTTGTGTGCATGTGGCTATGTCTGTATTTTTCAAAGCATGTTGATGTGTCCTTGCCATGCATTGCACTGTCTGTGCACCGGGTTCCCACATGATTATGACATTAATAATGCAGGCTGAAGTAATTAATCCATATATATTGTGAACCAGATAAATAGACTTGTGCTCATTTATAAGTAGTCTTAAGTGCTTTGTAGTGGGTTCACTAAAGTTGAATTATACTAATTATAATATTTTACTTTTTTTTTTTTAATGTAATGCAGTAACTTTCTTGTGGAATATGGGATTACTCTTGCATTGTGGGGCATATTTGGTGCTTGTCACCAGTTGGAGACAATCTGAGAAACAAACCTGTCTCAGACTCAGTTTAGAAATGCAAATCACTATCTAGAGAATTGTAATGCCTGGCTTTTAAGATTTATTAACATTTAGATATGAGAAGTACCTACAATTGTTTCACTTATAAAATGGAATAAGGTTTTACGGGTTCAGAAAAGCACCTTAAAAATGGAAGAGGCAATTACATTGTAAAATTGTCAATACAAGTTCATTCTGTGTGAAATAAAAGCAGTTAGGATGACTGAGCTTTAAAAAGAAAAACTGAAAATGCCTATTTTTCCTGGTTGAATTTTGTCATAACTTTAAATGACCATTTTTAAAAATAAACTAATCTTCCTTATCCCAAATGAATCATATCTGAATGCCTTCTGTGTATCTGTAGTAGTAAACATCTGTAATTTTATTCTAGCACTGGATCTATTAGTTAATAGAAATTTAATAACAGCATGGCATTCAGAGGAGGCAATATATTTTTGCTTCCTTTCCTGAGAGTTGGAATGTATGTGCAGGTAAGGAATGACAACTACCTATTTGATTTCTAAATTCACCAGTGGCCATCATTGAAGTTCGTTGCAAATCAAAACTAACACATAGGCCAAATTTACCACAGGTGAAAACAGATTAACTAAGCCTGGATGTTCATTGCAAGGATATTAAGAAACAGGGGCTGTAACAGGTTAAGAATGATAGAATACCGCCTAGGAACATTGTTAGTGAAAGTGCCATTTGCACAAGCTGGCAGCTGGGCAGGTACAGAATTTATTCCTCTGGGAAGCTGAGTTCTCTCAATCTGCCCTGGCAGCTTTACACAACCATGGTGGTAGCAGTGCCTTAAAAGCCACATTTCCCCAATTTAGGCAGATATTAACTCACCAGACTACAGCAGTCAAAGTTGGCAGACTACTATAGCTTCTTTAGATTGAAAACAATCAATTTTTATTTCCCTTGTACAGCAGCATCTTGCAATTGTGTTTTTATTCTTTTGAGCGGAAGTTTTTGTTATCTCTCCAAACACCAAAATCTGATAGAAACAGCAAAATAAATTTACTGTCCCTAAAAATGTAAGGCCTGTTCTGTTTGACTTCTGATGTTTGCTAGCTGTGTATCTGATTACAAACCATTCCTATGGACACAGTGATTATTTATGTTGTGGACAGTGGCAGATCTGTTGCCAGTCAAATTCCTCCCAAAGGGCTCAGTGCATTTAGAGAATAATAGGAGGAGCATCAGCAGCATTACAGACTGCAGCAAACACATCTCATGCAAAAGACAGAAGAGCAGAGGGGAGAAAAGAGAAGAGAAAGAGGATTGAGATAAAACTGTGCTGCTTGAGGAAGAAAAGCCAAAAAATTGATAATCAAATACATCAGGAGTTATACGAGCAGTATGTCTCGGTCACCAGGAAGAAAGCAGGAGAACCACAAAATAGTAAGATATTTTTGTAATATGTTATTAAAATTGTGCATGGAGTAAGAATGACCTATTATTCTATAGATGCATTTTATACACTCCTATTTCTGAACCATTTAAAAGTACTGAAAGGATAGGGATAAGGTTGGTGGTACAAAAGCAGAGCTGCAGGCAGCATTTATGGCTATTATTCCTAATGCTGGGATTCTGTACAGACTTGGGAAAGAGGGGCACAAAGTTTCTGAGACTCCAGTCTATTCAGAACAGAAAGAAGTCTAAGTGCTTCAAGTGCTTATGGTCTAAGATATAAATTCCAGGTAAGTTTATGCACCTCTGTGGTTAGATGGTCATTCAATGAAACACAGAGAGAAGATCTCTATTCTAGGCTTGAATGGTGCTATTCCACACAAACCTTTCTTCTGGAGTTTAGAGCCTTAGGGCTTTCTCTATGGTGAATGCTGATTTTTGACAGGAACTGGGCAGTGGAAAAAATCCAGAAGGATTTAAGACAATATTGTATCAATTTCTGAAAAGAGGACAGAGATCTCCACTGAAAAATAAATGGAAGAGTGTAATATAATTACAGTTAATATACCTAAGTTTATGGTCAAAAAGTATTCCAGTGGATTGCAAGTGTGGCTGATAAATCTGATTACATTGATATATTATGCGTATGTTTCTCTGAGGTAATTTTCTTGTTGCAACTGAGACTTTTTGCTAAACAATAATAACATAAGAATAGAGGACCTGTATGACATCCATTTACTCCATTGAAAACTTGTTACTGAGAATTTGGCCAAGGGTACAATATTATTTTAAACAGGAGTTATCACTAAAATGAATTTGGAAAATGGTTCTGCTTAAGGTTTTGGACAGTGACTTGTTAAAACAGCAACACTGATTAAACTCCAAACATCTGATGCAAATGGAGCAGAAATAAATCTTTCCACCTAGCTGTACTTACTTTGCTAGTGTGATTTGTTCCATTGTTTTTATTGGTATTCACTATTTTTTTTTTCCACAGGCTAGAGACCAAAAGCAGCTCTGGTCTGACCATATGCCACAGGGCTGTAGCACTTTAATTAATTCCTGTCCAAGATGTTTAGTAAGAATCAACTCAATCTCTCACTAAAAGGACAGCTGCTACTCCTGCTAAATATAGACAGTTCTGCAGTGCATGGATGTGATCTGACAGGGCAGGGAGAGAAGGACACTCTCCTCCAAATTGTTGCACACCTGAAGACCCCACAGCAGTGCTTGCACCAGGACCTGTGCAGAGATGTACCTTTGGCATCTTCAGTTGCTCTCCATGTTCCTTGGGCAAGGGGCTGCAATCCTCACCATCCCCTTCTTCTTCTTCTTGTTCTTTACACTTATTCTGATTTATAGTATTTTTTCATTATTCTGAGCTAAATTTTTATCTACTTTTTACTCTTTTAGAGAAAGCAGCTAATAATTTGAATCAGACCAACCCTACCTTTGTGAACTGTTGTGCTACTGCAGAGGAAGTAATAGCTCATTGCCTCTTTTCCTGCTGCTGTTATTATTCTTGGATGGCACTTGCCAGCATTTGTCAATCCAGCACACATACACTCAAGATGCAAGAATTACTAATGACAGTAACTCTGAGTATACCAAGAAATGGTATTTCTAACAACCAAAATCCCTTACAAACTCAAGTGAGATCAATATAGATTCTGTCATGCTTGAAATGTGGATTTTAGTGATTATGCATCCATAGATAAAAAATTATTTATTTTTTAATGAGCAGCAGCTTAAAAAATGTAAGAGTTTGATTTTAGCTCACTTCATTTTTTATTTTCTTATTTTCTGACAGAGCAGAGAACTTTTTGTCCTCACATATGGGGCTTTGGTAGCCCAGCTGTGCAAGGACTATGAAAAAGATGAAGATGTCAATGCCTGTTTAGATAGAATGTAAGTACTGCTTTAAATGTTCAGTTTTATCCATAATGGTACTTGTTTACATGTTTACATACAAATTACCTTTCAGCTTTTTTTTTTTTTTTTTTGCTATCTCACAAGTTCCAGCATTCTGTCTATGGTTACAGAGAAGACAGGGAAAAGGTTCAATATTCTGTCAACAGAAACAACACTTATTTGTGCATTAAGATCAACAATTAGCTTTTTAATTCTCTGAAGAAAAGTGTCAGGATTGTTTTCATAGCTTACTCTTGCTCCTTGCTGATCTTTTAGTTATGCTAATTATTAATATAATCTAAATTTTATATCTCTCACTGGGTCAGGGGCAAATGAGCCTCTCACCTTTAAAAAAACCATACAGCAATGAGTGAGATAACACAAAACATCAATGAAGCTGGATTTTCACATGGATAACCTCCTTGGAAAATGAAGATCCAATGTTTACAAACCCTGTCATCCTGACTGAGATTCCTAGGCATTACTACCATAAAAACAATACAATGGAGAATCAACAAGAAACAACTTTTTAGCAGGTCAACAAGAACATATAGTAAGGCCTTTGTCAGAACAGTAAGGCTTATATTTCTGGGCAAAGTGGACATGCAAAGTGGTGCTACAAAAATCACAGAGGACAGAATACCCTGGCCACTTTACTATTAACCTGAAAGTTTGCAAACTAGCTGTAGTCCAATAACTATCCATGAGAATAAACTAAAAAAGGAAATCATTGTTTGGGAAAAAGAAAAGTAATTTATTCACAAACTTATAAGGGATAACATCCCTCAGATACTTTTTTTATATTCATCTCTCATTCAGCTCTGGTGAAAATCATACATATAAAATATGCACAGGCTTTTTCAATGATGCCATGGTAGAATTTACTAGAGAACAGTTTTGGAAGATGTGGAGACAGATTTTCCTCCTTATGTTTTCATTTTTGCAGTTGTTTCTATAAAATCTTTTTGTTTTGAGGAAGAGTTGATAATATAATGACAGGTTTCATTAAAACAATATCTTCTTTACTTCCGTGATTATGAAAAAGCACAGCTTCATAAAGAAACCTCACATTTCAGCAGACCTGTGACATGTGGGGACAGTGTACTTACCTCTCTCTCTGTGTACATATATAGTCTGTAGTGAGAAGGGTGATTTTCACTGTACAGTTGCCAAGTAGCTGCTTACCAGTCTATTGTTAATTTGACTTCACAAATCTAGGGCATAAAAGTTGAAATGTAGTAGTCTCGTATGTCACTAATACATACCTTACTAAATTATGACGACGCATTTGCCAATGTTATTGATACTGACACTTAGGCAATAGATAAATATTTAATTGTTTCTAGACACATGACATACTGCAATTTTAATCTTCACCCTTCCAAATCCACTTTTTTGTCTCATCATCAGCTCATTGTTTGTCTTCTAGCCAAAGATGTTGTACACAGACCAGTAAGAAACTCCACTGAGTTCAGGCTGCTTCACTGAGGATGTAGGGCCTCCAACAAAAAAAGCAGACACTGCCAATATCCACATAACTGGAAATAAAGAATTTCCTAAAAACATTTCTGAGCTGAGTACCTATTCTTGCAAGATGTTTGTGTCAATGTCTTTCCATTTTTCAGAAAATGTATGGAGTCACAGCTCTTTTGCACACTAAGAAGTTATTGGCCTTTGTTAATGTGTCAGAGCTAGGAATGAATATTGGTTTATAAAAATTCCATTATCTTCCATCTATTTTTATTTGTTTTTTAAAAAAATTGTAGTATTTTATATACAAAATGGAGGTGGCAGTGCACAAAACCTCTGGGTTTTTTTGTGGTTATGAGCGACACAGGGACCCCAGACAGGTACAAAGGAATGCTCCTTATTGCCAAAAACCCAGCCTTTTTAAGCAGTTAGCCTGTTACCATTTTACAGTTTATAGTTTTAAGGCACAGCAAGCTCAAGTCAACCAACCATGATGTGGACGTGCTGCAGACATGTGGCAGTCACGCAGCACATCTCGTGTCTCTCCCGTCTCTCATGATTCTCTACCCTTATTCCAGCTGAGCACTCTCCCATAGTTCCCTTCTACTTAGCCTAAGTAACAGGCTGGAGCCATGTTACAAGGCCTTCCCTTTATAAAGCCATACCCATCAGTAACACGTGTTAACTAACAACTTCGGGATTTTTTTCCATCAGCTAGTTAGATGAAGGGAGATAACATGTTAGAAAAAAAAGACAAACGGGTAATTGTGAAGGAAGAGTGAAAAATGAGGTGAAGAGGTAAGAGGAGAAAGAGATCATGTGTGAGTGCATTTCCTATGGCAGCTGAATGCTGCAATGAGGTGCCCAGGATTGGTGTCTATACGTATAGACAATGTACAAACTGTGTAGACAATTCATATCGTCCTTGCCAGGACTATCATGCTTAAAGAAGTATGATTCCTTAAATGACTACATGAACAGCAGTCCCACTGTGCTGTAAAATGTGGTAGAAAGAAGAAAGTAGACACAAAATGTGTTGTCACTGAAGTCCCTCAATTAGGATCATGCAGTTGTTTTGCTGATGAAACACAAGAGACACATTAGGGAGATGGCAGGTGGAAAAAAGTTCCCCATTTTAAATGTTGCCTTTCCTTGTTTCCTCCTCAGGGGATACAGCATCGGCATAAGGCTGATTGATGACTTTTTGGCCCGTTCAGCTGTGAAAAAGTGCCGTAGTTACTCTGAAACTGTAGACATGATTGCACAGGTAAATAAGATTTGCATTTTTTAAGTATCATCAGATTCAGTGATCTTAGCTTAGAATCATATATTCCCTTCCTTTTTCCTCTTCCTAGGAGCATAAGTCTTAACTGTCTCGTACAGATGTTAAACTTCAATATTTTTACTTCTGCCATTTGACCCTTCTCATCATCACCATAATTATCTTAGATATCTTTTTACTTTAAAATGTTAATATTAAGAATAAGCTGCAGGATTTTCTGCAAAATGAAAAAGCTCAGTGGTAGCAAAGAAGAACTGTAAGAAAGGAAAATAAGAGGAACATTTTCGTGACTACCCACAAATCTAATTATAAAATCAAAAAGATAAAACCAGAGCATGTACTTTCACCTACTTTGATGGAAATTTCCCTTTTATTGAGTAGCTGTTCACACTTCTGTCAGACAAGAAAGACACAGGTCTCTAAAGGTGTACTTCTGCCCCCATTGGCAAGTTAGAATTCCAAGGAGTTTCAAAGAGAAATTTAAATAAGAATATATAACAAAGTTCCTCCTGGTAAGCAGCTGAGCTGGGGCAGATGATCCATTGGAAATGGTGAAGCCAGCTGAATGAAACTGATGAGACAAGCAGAATTTCAGTCACTGTTTAAAATACACTGCCTCATTTTAAAAAATTATACCAGGCTGCAAAATCACATTTTTGTTCACTTTTACATTTTTCTTCAGGTGATATTGGTACTTTATTTTCAGATATATGTCAGATAACTGGTTTTCTGGGTCTTATTCCTCATAGTTCCCTTCTTTATAAATGCATTATTACAGCTGAAACTTCAATCTTAAGTACATGTTATTCAATGGCAAAGTACAGTGAGAAATTAACAATGGAAAAATACACTATTTCTCTTCAGCTTGTACTTCCAAAGAGACTTATTAACAGAAATAAAAAATTACTTGGAAAGGTTAGAACAAACATTAAAGCACATACAGTCCTTTTGAAAGACTATTTTTAGCAAACAAAAAGGAGTTCAGTAGTAGGAGTAAAACATTTCTGAGGCAAAATGTGATATGGACAGCATTTTCACATTTCTTTGGCAAAACAATTTTTAAATAATCGCACATTTGTCTGAGATACATACCAACAAAACATGTCTAAAGTGACCCAGTAAGAAGTTGCAAATACTCTATTAAACTTTCTAGTTCAGAATTATGAAATTGTTTACATGATCTGAACTCTTCAGCAGGAGTGTTCCCAGCCATGAGAAAGTGCCTAAATACTTAACTGTATTAGGTCTTCAGAGGATGTCTGAGGATGAGTAAAACCAGTTCAAAAAGTAATTAACACAGTTAAGCAATTCAAGTAGTAAAAGCCAAACCTCTTGTTAACATAGCTATTATCCTTCAGTTCTTTGGAAAACAAAGAAGTCTGTAAGATCAGGCTGTGGATGTTCCCTGTGGAAATGGAAAGAGATGAAGCAAAAGAAAAAGAACACAACAACAAACAAACAGAAAATGAGGACTACAAAGCCAGCTTTCCAGATTAAGAAATAAATACTGGAGGAAAGGTGCACCTAAAGCAGTGACTGGGAGTTTAAAACTTCCATCGCTGGTTCAGATTGCAAAGCCTGGGCTTTACTGCTAATTTATAGTGGCCTGGAGAAAGGCCAACAAGTTTTGACATGGAGCCAAAGTGAGCCCTTCTACACTGAGTTCCCATGGTGTTCACTGTCTTCTCATGTTGGTCCTGTGACTTGGCAGGGTTGCAGTTGGGATTAAATTAAAAAGAGATGAAACAAGACATGTAAAATTAGGCTTTCTGGCAAATTGAGGTAAAAAATGGAAATCAATTGAGGAATGATATTAAGGACAAAGCCCAGCTGAAGAAGTAATGTCCAAGATGGGATTCTGAATTTGGATCTGAATATAACTGAGAATTACTTTTGAAATTATGTTGATAATTTTTGTCTCTCCTGCAAAATCAAATTTTTAATTAAATTTCTTCTCAAAGTACTTGATGTGATTGATCTGATCAAATGAGTTGCAGAAAACAGCTTCTGGGTTTAGATCTAATGTTTATATTGCCTTCTCTAGCACTAGGAGCTATTTGTGTGTGCCAGGGGTGGAAGCCTGACTACACCCTCTGGTCCAGAGCAAGCTGATGCTGGTTTACAGGCTCTACTGCTGGATTAAGCAGTGCTGTGCCTGAGGATAGATCTGTTCCTGAAAAGCAGTGGCTGCAGAGATGGGCTTTATTGTGGACACTGAGTACCCTGTGAATGCAGGAAATTAATAACTCTGGACCTCTTTGAAGAGAGTTCCTGGGTTGGGGTGGGGGTGGGGGTGGGAAATAACAAAGGATGGGGTAATCCAACCATGTCACTCCCCTGTCCAGAGCTGTAGGACAGGAAAAGTCCTTCCCTTGTCATGGAAGGCGCTGCCACACAAGGTCCCTGTATACTGACTTATGGCCTGTTTGTAGGTCTGACAGAAGCTGGCAGAATTTATGAAGCTGGTAAATGTTGCTTTTCAGATCTCAGCAAGGAGAGGAAAATGCATAAGCAGGTTGCTGTGCTAAGGAATACAGCTTACTGTGATAGACAGTAAACAGGACATTCACGTGCTGTGCTGTGGAGAGTAAAGAAAAGGTCAGAAGTTTGGAATTTGCAACAGATAGCAAGACCTTTAATATATCTTCCTATTTCCAAACCCTGACTGGAAAAACACTAAGAATGAAAAGTATGCTAGCAGAAATATTATTTTTGCTGCCTTTCCCCTTTTAAGCAGATGAATTCTGGTCTTTCATTAATCTTGCTATTATGCTGTCTGAAATAATGGTTTCAATTTTTTTAACAGTCTGTACTTACTTACTTGGTGTCATGACTTATGCATAAAAGTTTGGAAGTGAAAAGTCCCCAGTAGTATGTAGAGGGACTGAAAAGTTAGTGGCTTCCTAAACATTTCAGTAATTCTAGGCTGTGTTTGAGCACCATCAAAATGTTAATGATCTTTATACTTGCTGCTTGGAGAGATGGAATACTGACTGAGATTTTGAAAAAGGGCAGAGATACATTTTTAATTCATACTGCATAGGTCTTATTTTCTCACTAAGCAATATATAATGTCATAGAGTTGCAAATAACATTTTCAAAAGTGAGGTTTTGCTTTATATGGACATCATTTTGCTGGCCAGCCTATGTACGTGTCTAAACAGATATTCTTGTTTCTTCCATTCATGGATAAAAGCGAGACAGATTTATGGGATGCAAGTTTTAAACCACCTCATTAATTTTACCTTCTAGTCTTTTGGAGTCACAAAGACTGAAAATACCTTTGTTTTATCCTCTGAGAATCTGTAAATGGTAGTTTTAAAGTAGCTGCTGTTCAGTTACAGGCTGGTTTTAAGAAAAAATATTTGTTATTCACTGATTTGCTTATCTATGCACTTAAATTATTGTTCCTGCCAAGACATTTTCACAATTTTCACTTTATAGCTTTGAATTTGACCTTAATTTGGTGCTCCATTGCAAACCAGATACTTGTTTTGCATAGTTTCCATGCAAGTTCTCTTTTACACTGGAATTTTCAACAATAAAATTTGGACATATTCATCATGCCATAATGCAAAGTACAGCTGAAACTAAATTGAGAGCATATGAAGGCTTAACATGGTAAAAAAGACTTTATTCTTATAACAAAGACTTCAAGTTTGATGGAGCAGCAAATGTGGAAGAGGTAAGAGAATTTAAAGACTAAACTGAGGGACAGAGCACAGAGGATTAAACATAAGTTTTCTATTTTCTCGTATACTCATATTTTAATGGGGATCAGAATTAATGCAAAATCTAAATTTTCCAGCAGAAAATGTTGATCTTGCTGTTTGGTTTTATTTGTTGGGTGTTTTTCTCTCTCTCCAGTTTGTTTTGGACAGTATTGACAACAGTCTGGCTCTTTCTGAGCTGCCATGGTAGCTGCTGGATTCAGGAACAATGTTGATAGAAAGCAGCTTTTGCAATAACCCCTTGAAGGACTAAATTTGCCAAACCCACATTCCAGTTGAAGACATAGGGTCAAACTGGATGTTTTTTCAGATTGTTTTTATAGACGTATTCTAGGATCCACATGGAAATTGCATTAAATCACAAGAATTTTGTTAAGACAAAAGAGTCACACAGCCCTGGGAATGAGGATCAGTGAGAGATGGGCTCCTAGGAGGCACACATTGCATCACAAAGAGTTCAGCAGCTGCTCTTGGGGGTGGAGACAGTCTCAACATGAGCTACCTGCTAACATGAAGCAGGCAAGGAGGAGGAGAGGGAAGTTCATCTTGGATTTGCCCCTCCACAAAAAAGCAGATAGGGCTGGGAAGTGCTGCCATTTCAGATGGCCTGAGCTACTCAGGTGCAGAGCCCTAAGCCTTCTCCTGAGCAAAAAGAGGATACCAAAAGCTCTACATGGGATCATTCTGTTCTCCTACCCTTCCCTCTACCAGCTATGTTTTTGCCTCTGTGTCTCAGCTATTATATCACAGTGGAGGCCTTATCTTTTACATCAACCCACTTGTTTCCCATATTTCTTTGATCAACTCATTAACCTACTTGCTGTCCTCCCCATTGCTTCCCTACTTGCTTTGATTTTCTGAGGGAGGAGGTGGAGAGACAGTTTTGGAAAGGAAAGTTTGGCCCAGGCAGCAGGGCTGTCCTCTTAGGGCATGTGCTGTCTCCCCTTATATGCAGGGAGGAGGTGAAATGGGGCTGGACAGATGATGCTGGGGCAGTTCTTATAAAGAAAGATAAAACCAGACAAATAGGAGGGGTCATATTGTCTGGAAGTAGGTAGATGCTATGCCAGGAGAGACTCCTGGGGAGAAAATGGTTGGTGTATGTGCCAGGCACAGTGTCAGACATCTGCTGTTGTGACTTTCATTTTGGCAGTGTTACATCTGCGCTTTCAGCTGCAGCAGGCTCATTTAAGCATATAACATGTTTTAAATGTGCTGCTAAGTGGGTCATCTGGGATGAAAGAACTTTAAAAT